ATGGAATCCTTCCTTCAGAGTGCCCTGAAAGGGGCCACTTTGCTCAAGGAAGTAAAGGAAAGAAGATGAATGATATGCAAACACCTAAGACCCTCTCCTTCCTCAACCAAGTATTATTCAGGCTCTGAAAGGTTTGGCTAATTTGTGATGAGTTCCCTATGGCTAAAATATATGTTTGGACCACTCTCGCAGAGGCTATAGCAGCCCTGCAAACCACACTGGTGGTTTCTTGGTTCTACAATGAAAGAGTGAAAAGAATCAATGATAAGATTGTTAACCAGACTCGGATTTCTAGGTTCATTCATGCCACTACTGTTGATTATTGAGCTCAAGTAAACCTCCTTGTAAGGTCAGGAAAATTGGTCCATGACACAATTTGGATCATAACTAAGAAATTTCTGGGCATGGAAAAAAACAACTACTGCTAAAATAGCAAAGACAGACCATCAGAGAGAGTGACATAAAAATGTTAATCAGTCACATACTCCTGGAAAACCCAGGAAATGGTCTTCCTGAAGAGATTTCTGGGTCTTGTTACTCAACAATATTTTCTCAAGTGAGAAGACTGATAGGCTGTCTACCAAGGAGCTCATGACTAGGTAGTGTACCATTGAGAATGCAACAGGAAGCCCCCAAGAGTCCACAGGGTGACGGTCCCATAATTAATATAAGTGCCATCCCCTTTACCTGTCCCAGTAAATCTTGAGATGAATGGAAAACCCTGCCAACTTTTAACCAGAACTCTCAGCTTTTCAACATAAATAAGACTATGGATCAGGCCAAGAGCTCCATGTCACCACTAGGGAAAGAAGGCCCTATACCAAAGACACAGTTCAATGGGAAAATGAGGAAGAATTGCATTTTGGGGCCTTTTGGATACTGGTACAAACGTGTCTATGATCCACACAATCTATGACACCAGAATGAGGGGAAATAGATAATCTCTTTGGTTTGGGGTATGAGGCCACCATCAACAGGACTCTTAGGCAGATGACTAATGGTAGGACCATCGGGCCATCACAAACCTCCATTGTTATGGTACCCGCTACTGAATGCATTATTGGTATAAATGCACTGTCTATGTGAACCCCCACTTGCCTTGAAGGGAATTGCTGCAGTTAAGGCCATTTCAGTGGGACCTGTGGAAGGCTGTGTACCTACCCATCTACCAGCATCTAGTGCCTTTGTCTCCCAAAAACAACTGCCTGAGGGAGAAAAAAATACCTGACCCCATTGCTGTGCCAAAGTCCCCCAACGGGCCTATGCACAAGATTTTGGGTTTCTGGAGTCTCACTTGATTATAGACAGTTCGATGCTACAGTGCAGCCCTTGACACCAGCAGTACCTGACACTGTGACTGTCACAGAGGCTATTTCCCAAGACGAAGGAACTTGGTATACAGCAATTGACATCACAAATGCCCTTTTCAGCATCCCTGTCCACTAAGATGATCAGGATCAGTTTACCCTTATATGGAATAGGTTACAATACATTATTACTGTTCTTCTACAAGACTCATTAAATTCCCTATCTGACATAAGGTCATCAAGGTCATGACCTGGAAAAAGTCCCATTGCCAGAGGGACCACTAGCCTTCTACTCTATTGATGACATCATCCACGTGGACCCAGAAAGGGGCAACAACAAACAAGGACTGGACACCCCATTAACCCACATAAATATAGACAAGTTACAAGGACCTGAAACCCAAGTGAAATTCCAGAGCATCATATGGAAGGGGCATAATGTCTCACTTGAGAGTAGACAATTGCTAAACCTTTGCCCTCTCTGGTCCAAGAGATACAAGGAGTCTCAGCAATTTGGTGGCACTCTTTGTCTGCTGGTGATCCACCCTCCTCACATGGGCATCTTGATGACACTCAAATATCAGGTTACAAAAAAGGTCTCTGCATTTGAGTGGGACCTGACAAACAGATGCCCTGGAGTTCCTCTGACAGACTTCTTAGTCACCCTTGCCCTTGGTCCCTACAATCCACATTTTCCATTTGAGTTACATGTCACAGCATCTCTCTGTTCACCAATTTTAGGCAATGGCTGAAGGACACTGCCACTGGTCAGAGTCAACTGCTGGACTTATGGACCCGTAATCTCCTGGAGTGAGCTGATAAGTACACACCCTTTGAGAGTCAGTTGATGGCCTGTTTTTGAGTCATACTGAGTACATGACCCAAGACCATAAAATAATCTTAGTGCCAGAAATCCCAACCAAAACGTATCAATACTTTTGTTTCTGTTTTCTAATATCTTAGGGTATTAATACTTTAGGTCAAAGTGTAAAGTCTCTATAAAATATATGCCCAAATACATATTCATGAACCAAACAAAAAGATCATCTGATGAGTTTAAGATATTTTAAAGTTGTCTATAATTATTATACTTACTAGTGAGTCCTTCCCTTCTGAAAGTTCTTTGTTTCTTTACTTGCAGTTGGGTTGTTGACACTGCACCTTGATTCTCCTGCATAAGTTTTTCATCTGGCACTTTATCATGAGCTACATAAAAAGATACATTTAGTCCACTAAATGGAAAAACAAATTTATTGTGAAATCTCTAGATTTCAAGTTCATAATAATTGTGCACCAGCATTTTCTCTCATTTTTATAAATTTTTAAGTAAATTGCCACAATGCTAGACTCACATGAAAATTGTGAGACCAATTTTAATAGATGGTGTTGAAGCTGTCTCATTGTTTCATAAATATTCCTAGGCATCAAAAATGTTTTATATTAGTCTCTAGTTTTCTTGGGTTATTTATACTTTAGGTTAATAAATATTCATAGATCAAACAATGAAAATGTGTATATACAAGTTTTTTTCATTACAGTATTATGTGTAATTGCAAAATATTTAAAACTACCTAAACTTACAAGAATAGAAGATGGGTTGAATAAACTAACATATACATTATGAACTATGGTATAGTATAAATTTTGGTATATAATGTAGTATAAACAGCTATATCTACTGCTATAAAAGGAGTGCAAAACATCTCTATAAAATAAATTGGTAATACTGCGCCCTCTACTGGATGATGTGGGCGATGGCCTGACCTAAGACCTATGGGTCTGATGACCATACAATGGGGTCTCAAAGGAGTAGATTGATGAGCTCTCCACCAAGGTCCTCATGGTTAGATTATGGGCCATTGAGGACCCAACATGTAGCCCCACTAAGGTCCACATGGTGGTGGCCACTGTGACTAATACAAGTGCTATTCCCTTTACCTCTACCAGTGAATCTTGAGACAAATCAGAGAACCTCATATACATTTACCCTGATTTCAGCTTTCAAAAATAAACGAGATTAGGGGTTATAGCAAGGCACCTATGTCCACAGTGGAGATATGAGGACCTATGCCAAGGACAGAGTTCAATGGGCAGGTGGGGGAGAATTGCATTTCTTGGGCCTTTTGGATATTGGTGTACTGGTAACTGTGATCCTCATAAGGCCTGGGACCAGAATGAGAGGGAAACAGATAATGCACTCTGGTTTGGGGCCACCACCACCAACAGAAACCTTTTCCGGGCCAGACTACAGTAGATTCTATCGTTATTGCCTCTACTACTGAATGTATTATTGGTATAGATGTATTAACTATGTGACCTACCACTCACATTCACTTCCAAGTTCTGACAGGATTTGCTGCAGTTAGGGTATTTTAATGGGGCATGTGGAAGATCTTGAGCCACCCAACTACCAGAGCCTAGTAGCAATACCTACCAAAAACAATATTGACTGCCTGGGTATAAAAAAGAAATAACTGCCCTTATTGCTGAGCTTAAGGAAGCCTGCTAACTCTGTAGACTATTTCTCCATTCAATAGCCCTATCTGGCCTGTGCACAAAACTTTGAGTGCCTAGAGACTAAGTTGATTAAGACTGCACAAAGTGTTAGTACCAACTTGGCACTGACATTGTGACTGTCATAAAGCTATTGTCCAAGATGAAGCAAATTGGTATACAGCATCCAACATCTTGAACTCTCTTTTCAGTATCCCTCTTCATGCAGATGACCAGGATCAGTTTACTCTTATGTAGAATTGATTGAAAAATGCCACTAATATCCTTTCACAAGGCTCCCTAAATTCACCATCTGTCTGTCATCAATGGGTAGGGCATGACCTGGAAAAAGTCTGGCTCACAGAGGGAATATTAGCTTTCCACTATATTGATGACATTCTTCTGGTGGGCCCCAGACAAGAGCACCATCCAACAAGGACTGGACATCCTGTTGGTCCATATAGTACAACATGGCTGTGCCATTAATATAGGCAAAGTACAAGGACCTACTATCCAAGTGAAATTCCGGGATGTCATCTGTAAGGGACATGACATCTTATTCCAGAGGAGATAATTGCAAATCTTTTGGCCCTCTCTTTCTCAAATTATAAAACATTGGTGGGACTTTTTGACTAATGACACATTCACATTCTACCTACAGGGATTTGATGGCACATACCTATGGGGTTAGCATAAAGGCTGTTACCGCTGAGTGGAGACCCATTCAACAAGATGCTCTCGGGGCGACCTAAGCTGCCTCCCCCTGGACCTCTCTGAGCCTTATGTGGTTTTTGAGTTACTGATCTCAGTAATATCTCTGTTCAAAAACTGGAGTCTATTGCAAAAAGACAATGACACAGGTAAGAGGCACCCATTGGTCTTTTGGACCAGTAATCTCCTGGGGTTGGCTAAAAGGTACACATCCTTTGTGAGACAGTTAATGGCCTGTTATTGTTCTTGGTGGACAGTGAGCACATTACCCATGCATATGAAATAGTCTTATGGTCAGAAATTCCAACCAATGTGTATCAATAATTTTGCTCTTGTTCTCAGTTATCTTAGGGGATTCACACTTTAAATCAACATGTAAAATTTCTACAAAATATATGCTGAGATATATCTTCATGAACCAAAGAAAAAAGATCTTCTGATGAGTTTAATTTAGAATAATATGAAGTTATTTATGATTATTATACTTACTAATGAGTCTTTCCCTTGTGGGAGTTCTTTGCTTCTTTATGTGCATTTGGGTTTTTGACACTGAATCTTGATGCTCAAGCATAAGCTTTTTATCTGGTACTTCATCAAGACCTGCATAAAGAAACGTATTTAGTCCACTAAATAGAAAAAATAGATCTATTGTGAATTGCCTAGACTTCAAATTTATGCAACTGTACAGCAAAATTTTCTCTCATTTTGATAAAGTTAAAAATAAATTACCATAATGCTAGATCTGACACAAAAATGGTGAGAAAAGTTTTAACGAGTGTTTTTAAAGCTCTCTCATTATTTCATAAACATTTCTAGGAATTAAATATATTTGTATTAGTCTCTAGTTTTCTTGGTTTATTTATACTTTAGGTTAATACATAATCATAAATCAAACAATGAAAACACATATGTACAAGGTTGCTTATTATAGCATCATTTGTAATTGCATAATATTCAAACCACCTAAATGTTCAAGCATAGGTTATTGTTTGAATAACCTAAGATACATACTATAAACTACGGTATGGTATAGATAGTGATATATAATGTGATACAAACAGTTGTAAAATGAATGAAAAAGTTCTCCAGAAACTGACATGAAAGAATTTCCAGGAGAGAATGTTAAGTGAAAAATAAAAGTGAAGAAGCGGATATCTAGTATGTTACCTTTGAGGTAAGAAAGGAGGAGAAATAAGGAGAAAAACAGATAAAAATATAGAGACATTTGCCTTTAAAAAATGAAACAGAGGAATAACAAAACAGAAAACAAGGTAGATGGTTACCTACACAAAGGGGTAAACGAGGGAATGCAGGGGAAGGGATTCAGGAAAAGATGATCTTTCTCTTTCTCATATTTTTATTTTTGAAAACAGGTTAATATTCTACATATTCCGGAAAACAAATTATATTAACAAGGATATGAAGAGGGAACTAAAAATGGAAGCAACTTAAGAAATGAACAAACTGAAAAAAAAAAAGGCACTAATCCAAGTAACTCATGAACACAGTATTATTTTCTCAGTCTTCGGTAAGAAAAATAAAATCATGAAATCTTTTACTTGGTTTGTTTTTCTAGTGGTATGAGCCAATCAATTCAAAAACGATTTTAGAGGCTTACAGAGTTGTGCAAATGAGTAAATATGTTGATCTCGTGCAAAGTCAAGATTCACACTGTGAAAGAAAGGACGTATGCATATAAAGCGGAGGAAGGCAAGAAGAAGCCCTGAGGGGACTGACTGGAATTGAAAGTGTCTGTAATAACTCATGATTTCTAAATATATCTATGCGTATATGCGTGCATAAATGTACATGTATGTGTATGTAGGCATACATGCGTACGAATATGTATATGTGTATGTGCATATATATATATATACATTTGTGTATATTTTCTAGTCTGACTGCTCATTGCACCCAGAAGCAAAGACACCCCAGTACCAATGGGCACCATTAGCTTTCAGATCTTGGCTTATGATAACATTTCCCATTTGAAAAAAACAAGCTTTGTAAGAAAATTGGCTGATTCCAGCTACAAGGCAGGAAATGTGCAAGGTTAGTTTGGGACATCTTGTCATACGAAACAGCAGCGAATGTCATCTCAATGACTACTAGGGTCATGTCATAAGGACATAGTGATTATCTTGAATAAACTCCTACTTGCCAATGCTAGGACAATTTTAGAGCTAAAAAACAAAGAATAGTATGAGCTATAAAATCACTAGAAAAATGAGAATCCATGATTTCACACCAATAAATAAAGGAAGAAAGAAAGAAAAGAAATATGAGTGAAGGTAGGACTTTTGCTTTCAACAGAAAGCCAGGTACCAATTGGCTGGATGTAGAAGTGGTACCAGAGTTGGAAAAGCATCATTTTGGAACCTTCAAAGTAGAGACTAGTTCAGGAAAGAATTATGAATACATCCTAAATCAAGGAAATTTTGATAGAGAATAGGATATTTGCATGATCTTAAAGGCTTTTCCTATAGATTACTTATAAGTAGCTAGGGAAAAAATAATAAGATAGAGAAATCAGGTGATCATTATCAAAACCACAAATTAATGACAGATGTATACAGTGTAGTTCTGGATGTGATACCCTAAGAACAACACCAGACAAATCTAAAATGAGGAAACTTCTTTAAGGAGACAGTATTCTTTAAAAATTTTAATGTCATAAAAGACAAAGAAAAGCTAGGGAAATATTCTAGATTAAAGAAGGCTAAGAACATAACAACTACATGCAATACCTGACCCTGGACTGGATTCTGTATTGGAAAGGAAAAAATGTTATACAGGATAACATGGGGTTAAAAGACAAATACTGGATTATGAACGGTAGATTAGAAAAAGTATTATATTGATCTTACTTACTGAAGTTGAAAATTGTGTTGTGACTATGCAAAAAATATGCTTAAACCTAGGAAATACATGCTTTAGTATTAGGGCTATCATGTACTCAATTTACTCTCAAATACTTCAGAAAAAAAATACATATATATTTATGTTATGCACACATATATAACATACTATATAAAAGAGAGCAAAAGGCAAAGACAAAAAAGCAAATGGGAAAAAATTTTAACAATAGATTAATCTAGATTAAGGGTACAGTATATAGGTATTCTTTGTACTATTTTTTTTACTTTTCTATAAATTTAAAGTTATTTCCAAATAAGGCCTTTTAAAAGGCATTTTTTAAAAAAAATAAAGAGTTAAATGAATGTGAGAGAAAGTAACAAATACTGAAAATAGGCAAATGAGAGTCAACATATGGATAATAACAGTCTCCGAAGAAGAAAACTAAAGCAAAAGTATAAGTCAAAATTTGACTTGCAAGGATAAAAAGGACTGGGAGACTGTTATTAATGTGCAAGAACTCAAAGAATATAGTTCCCATGAGTCTGTCCTGAAAAATCTACTAGAGAATGAGCTTCATACAACCAAAATACAGAGAGAGAGCAAATAAGGACTGGTGATAAACACTAAATATATACTTGTAAAATTAAGACTAAATGAAGGCTAAAAGAGAAAGAGTATAGTATGTAACAGTTTAATGCTATGTCAATGTACATACAGCACAACTATTAAAAATTCTGGGAGAGAATGAAGAGGGCATATTCAAAAATATTTGACTATTCTCAATAATCATATGGAGTGAAAGTATTAATATTGTTATTCTGAGAGTATTGCATATGTATTTTTGAATAAAGCAAATGAATAATTATGGGATTTTCTAATCCTATTATTCTCTGTATATTTAAAATCCAAGATTCTCAGTGTGGAAGAAAGGAAATATACAATCAATATAAAAGAGGTTAAAAAATCTCTGTAGTATATAATTTGACAGTAAGAACTCATGAGGCTACTTATTCTTAAAATACATGAGTGTGGGTGTCTATCTCCATCCAATGAAATGGCCTAGAAACTGTGACAAACCCTGTAGCAAAAAGAATAAAATACAATTTCCCACTAAAAGAAATGAGAATTCTCAGAGAAATGGCTGATTTTAGGTGGAGGCAGAATATGTGCAAGATAAACGCGGAATATTTTGTCATACCAAATAGCAAGGAAGCTATCAAAGATGACCAGGGTCATGTCAAAAGGACTTAGGTACAAACTGAAGAAGATCCCACTGGGCAAAGATGGTACAATTGACCTTCCAAAAAGATAATAACTATAACTGATTGAAATCCATGTTAAAATCCATAAGTTCATGATGATATTTTTAAAAGAATAATTGGTCACTTTCAGAAAATTCATTATAATGAAAACTGGTATATAAAGAAAAAGAGCCAAGCATTTATCCTATTTATACTATATAATCAGTACCACTGAATAACAAATTAGTAGATGACAGGAAGTGCCTGCTTATAAAAGTGTTCTAATTAATAAATTAAAAAATATGATAAAATTAGATTATCATCATTTTGTAACTTCCAATAAATTAACAGATTTAGGTATTAAGTTTCAAGGGCTGCTAATGTCACAGCAAGAGAGACAACCAGACTCCTTATGTCTCTCTATGAAAGGAACAAGACCACCTATAATATTGACAAAGAAATCAAACCTGAATATGATCAACGTCATGGATCCAGCTGCAAGAGGGCAGAGGAACACAGGCAAACATTGCACCATAATTATGCAATCAGGAAAATCCTGATTGTAAAAAATTCTATAGGGCAGTGCTCTGAGTTATGCAGTTCATAAATTGTAAGGAAAACAAAGAGACAGAGGAGAAACTCATAAGATTTAAGATATATAAAATTTTAAATATGACTCACACATTATAGTGTCTACAAAGGCACATTTAGGTGGTAAAACTATAAAGATGTGCAAAGAAGTGATTCAATGTAAAAATTAGAAGAGGGTTGGCCACGTGGCTTAGCGGTTAGGTGCACGCGCTCTGTTACTGGCGGCCCGGTTTGGATCCCGGACACGCACCGACGCACCGCTTCTCCGGCCGTGCTGAGGCTGCGCATCCCACATACAGCAACTAGAAGGACGTGCAACTATGACAAACAACTATCTACTGGGGCTTTGGGGAAATAAAAAAAGGAGGAGGATGGGCAATAGATGTTAGCTCAGAGCCGGTCTTCCTCAGCAAAAAGAGGAGGATTAGCACGGATGTTAGCTCAGGGCTGATCTTCCTCACACACACACACAAAAATTAGAAGAGTGGTAACTGTTGTGGAGACAGGAGGGCTATGATTAGACAGGGCATGAAGGGGATTCTGGAATGACTGGCAAAGTTCTATTTCTTGCTCTGGGTAATAGTTTCAGGGTGTTCCCCTTAAACACTTCATTAAGTTTCATGTTTATTTTCTGTGGTTCTCTGTTTCTGCTGTAAGTTTAAAAAAACTAAATTTTAAAAAGGGGAGGGAGTTGCATTGGATTCCATCAGGAACTTGTGCAAATGCCTGTCCAGGAGCACTTTAAACTAATTCTCAAGTTGTACTGTCTTCCTTAATTATCAAAATAATTCTTTGAAGTATATAATATGATTCCCTCATCTGTACATGAGAAAACTGAGGCACAGAGAAGGTAATCCGTAATTGGCTGAGCCTGAATTCAAACCCAAGAGGTTTAGCTCCAGAGCCTGAGCTCTGAACTGAATAAAAGAAATACAAAAGGAAATAAGCATAGATAGTAGAAGACATTTTAAAATTATAAGATAATGTACTATATATCTTTGTACCATAAATGATAAAAAAATTTAGACGAAGTAGATAACACTCTAACAAAATATAAATTATCAAAATAAACTCAATGAAATGTAGAAAACTTGAATAGACTAATATCCTTAGGGGAAAATATTGAAACTCTACCATGAAAAATGTCACAAGGCCAAAGAGTTTTACAGGAAATTCCTATGAAACCACCAAGGATTACAGAATATCTTTGTTATATAAACTATAAAAATCTAGAAACAGATAGATTTTTCCCCATTTCATTTTACAATGTAATAGTACTCTGATGCCAAAACTAAAGAAAGAAAGAACAAAAAAACCAGACCAGTATCATTTATTAATTGTATAAACTGATATAGGTTAGATTATGCTGAAATAACAAACAACTGTAAAATTCTAGTGGCTTAAACACAAATATCTATTTCCTGCCCCTACTACACGTCCATTGAAGTTTACCTAGAAGTTCTGTTCCACATCATCACTCTGAAACTCGGGCTGATATAAATTCTATCTGTAACATTCCTGGTGATAACAGCAAAGGAAAAGGGAGAATGAAGGGAAGTACATGCTGGCCCCCAAAGCTTCTACATATGACTGATTCATACTTCATTGACCTAAGAAAATCACTTGGCCTCATCTAAGTTAAGAAGTCGGGAAGATGACATCAGCACGATGCACAGCAGGAAGCCTTAGACCCTCCTTCTCCCTATGGAGACGCCAATACAACAATACAAGCACTGATTCCCTTTGTGAGAAATGCAGAGATCAGTTGAGAGGCTCTTGCACACTGGATGAAGATGGAACAGCCACATTGAAGCCAGAGGGAAATTTGTGACAACTTCTAGTGATAATCTCTCCTCCCAACATATCACCACACAATCAGAAAACACTTGCCAGCTTCCAGCTTCTCCCCGGGGAGGGAAGGAAAATACTGAACCATATGTCCAAATTTCTGACTTTTGGGGGACTGCCTGAAGGACTGTTTTCTTTCTGGCCTGAATCTCAGCACTAACAGAAAAGGTACCAAGGTTGGGAGCTGCTGAGAAACAAAGGTGATGATATGAACTAGTACACTCTCACTGGTCATAGCCCCTCCCCCTGGCTTTGTTTGTGCAGAACAAGCAGGCAAAAAACCCCAAATTCCAGCTTCTTCCTGAGGAGCGAAAAGATTGAATATTCATCCACATCCCAGCTTTTCAGGGGGATGCTTGAGGCACTGGCTTCTGTACTGTCTGTCTTGAAGTGCTGATGGGACCCAGCATACTTGAATTGCCTAGGGACCACCAAGAGCAAAGACAACAGTTTGGATTAATATGCTCTCAATGCCAAAGCCCCTCTCCCCAGTTCAGCACAACACAATGGGGAAATCAGTCTCAGCTTCTCCCTGGAGAGAGAAGGAGAAGACTCAAATATACATCCAATGTTCAGACTTTTCAGAGAATCCTCTGGGAAACTGGTTTCTGCCTTGTCTGTCTCAGAGCACTGCCAAGTTCCATATACAGAACATGCTTAGAGACTGCTGAAAACAAAACAAACAAACAAAAAAGAATTGTGTGGTGTGCTGCCACTCCAGAGGACCTGCAGAACATCAGACAGACACCAGAGGGGGCAAAAGATCATGAACTCCCGAGAAAAGGGGCAAATCTCTCTATTTAAGAATTTACATACACAAGTCCAGAGAAGATACATCCACAAAACAAGTGTGAGGTCTCCAGAATCTCTATCCAGGCTTACTGGTGAAGGTCTTCTCTGTATGAATCCAGTCTACAAAGACTGGAGGAGGTGGTAGTTTTTTCAAATGTGCAGACACCAATACAAAGCATCAAGGAACAATAAGAAAGAGGGAAACATGCCCTAATATCTGACAAAGATTTCAAAATACCAATCATAAAAATGTTCAGCTACCTCAGTAAAATGTTGCATGAACAAAATGAGTATTTCGACAAAGAGACAGAAAATATTTTTTAAAAAACAACAAAAAATAGAAATTTTGGAGCTAAAGAATACAATAACTAAAATGAAAAATTAACTAGAGGGGTTCAAGAGATTTGATGAAGCAGAAGAAAAAATCAGCAAACTCAAAGAAGTTCATTTGAAATTATCCAATCAGAGAAGCAAAAAGAAAAAAACTGAAAAGTAAAGAACTTAAGGGACTAAAGGGACACCATAAAGCAGACCAACATACACATTACAGGAGTCCCAGAAGGAGAAGAGAGAGAGAAAGGGGCAGAAAGTTTATTTAAAGAAATAATAGCCGAAAACTCCTCAAATCTGGGGAAGGAAATTGACATCCAGATTCAAGAAGTCTCCAAAAGTCTCCGAAAAGGAAAAAGCTAAAGAAGTCCACACCAAGACAAATTATGATCAAAGTATTAAAAGTCAAAAGCAAAGAGAATTTTGAAAGCAAGCAAGAGAAAAGTGACTTCTTACAAGAAATCCTTATAATAATAGTGTAAGATTTCTCAGCAGAAACCTTGCAGTCCAGAAAATACTGGCATGACACATTCAAAGTGCTGAAAGAAAAAAACTACCAAGAATCCTATATCCAGCAAAACAATCCTTCAAAAAATGAAGCAGAAATAAAGACATTCCCAGATAAACAAAAGCTGAGGGAGTTTATCACCACTAGATCTACCTTGAAAGAAATACCAGAGAGAGTCATTCAGGTTGAAACGAATGGAAGCTAAACAGAAACACAAAAGTACACAGAAGTGTAAAGCTCACTAGTAAAGGTAAACATGAAGACAAAGACAGAATACTGTTATATAGTAATGGTAGTGCATAAACTGTTAATTCTGGTATACAAGTTAAAAGACAAAAATAAAAAAACTATAACTATAAAATGTTAATAAACACAAAATATAAAAATATGTAATTTGTGACATCAATAACATAAAGAAGGGAAGTAAAATATTAGAGTTATTGTATGAAATTGAAGTTAAATTGTTGTCACCATAGGCTGTTATAACTATTGGCTGCTTTATGTAAGCCCCATAGCAACCACAAAGAAAATACCTATAGAAGATACACAAACAAAAATAAGAAAATAATAAAAATGTCACTAAAAAAATTAATGAAACATAAAGAAAACAGCAAGAGAGGAAAAGAGACAAAAGCTAAAAAGAGACAGAAAATAATTAACAAAATGACAATAGTAAATATTTCTCTATCAATAATGACTTTAAATATAAATAGATTAAATTCCCCAATAAAAAGATATAGAGTGGCTGAATAGATTTTTTAAAAAGATTCATCTATATGCTGTCTACAAGAAACAAACTTTAGGTTTAAAGGCATACATGGGCTGAAAGTAAAGGTATGTAAAAAGATATCCCATGCAAATGGTGACCAAATGAGAGCAGGAGTAGGAAAACTTATATCAGATAAAACAAACTTTAAAACAAATACTGTCAAAAGAGACAAGGAAGGACATAATATAATGATAAAAGGGTCAATTCACCAAGAAGATATAACAATTATAAATATATGTGCACACAATATCAGAACCTCCAAACATATGAAGTGAACACTGTCAGAACTGATGGGAAAATCAGACAGTAATATAGTAATAATAGGAGTTTATATACCCACTTTCAATAATGGATAGAAAAACCAATAAAATCAATAAGAAAACAGAGGAGTGACATCATCAAAATGAAAAAAATAGGAGTTTTCTACCCTCTTCCTACCCCACCCACCCCGAGAACACTAATTTTGACAATCACTCACAGATGAGAGTGCCTTTGTGGAATTCCGGGAGCCCAGTGGAAAGTTCCAGCACACTGGAATTGGACACAATGAAGGGGGTAAGAAGAATAGTTTCACATACAAAAAATATGAGATTTGACACAATGAAGAGGGTAAGAAGAATAGTTTCACTTTTCCCACGTCACTCCAAGGCAGCACAGTTCAGTGCCAAGAGAAAACTTCTTGGACTGTGATTTTTCCCATGGGAGAAAGTGAGAGCATGTGAATGAATGATTGGCTTCCCCAGCTATGCAGAACACTGCCAAAGACCCCACTTCTTTCTCACCCCATCCAGAAAACTGAGGTTGCTGCAAAACTAGGAGATGGGGCAGGGCTGGCAGAATAGCAGCCAGCACCCTTGAAGGTATCAAGGAATGTGGATCCTACTAACTGCTTCCTGGACTCATCAAGAAGCCCATCCACAAGCCACTGAGAAAGCCTCACCTGTGGATACACCCAAGGTGCCCATGGGCACCACCAACACTAAGTGTGCCTCACCCCCACACACTGCTACCACACGGCTGGCTCCCTTTGTATGCCCCCAATGGCAGCCAGATAGAGCCTTTTTAGATGGCCAGTGAGTGTGCACAGAAAGCTAGCCCAACTCTGCAGGATTGAGAGAAAGCATGTAAATTTTAGAATTTAGCACCATCCTAGGGAAAGCAAGAAAACAGGAGGCTGTTGGCACCCAGCCTGGCTTTGTAGGACTGAGAGAAGGCACACAATCTTAAGAATCCCCCCGCAAAATGGGACAAGATGTGTGAAGAATTCAAATCCACAGAAAAGGTCTGAGAAAGCCTCAGAATCCCTAGCAGATTAGATAGATGAAGGTATTTCTCTCCCAAAGCCAGTCAGTAAAAACTGAAGCAAGTGCCTTCTCTTAAAATGCAAAGACAGAAGAGCAAGACGTCAAGAAACATAAAAAAATCAAGGAAACATGACACTACCAAAAGAACACAATAATTTTCTAATAACCAACCCCAAAGAAATGGAGATCTACACTTAGCCTAAAAAAATAATTTAAAAAAAATTTTAAAAGAAGTTCAGTGAGCTCAAGGAAAAAACAGAGAAATAATTCAGTAAAATCAGGAAAACAATACATGAACAAAATGAGAAGTTTAAGAGAGAGAATCAAACAGATTCTGGAGCTGAAGAATACAATGAACAAAATGAAAAATGCAATAGAGAACATTAACACCAGAATGGATCAAACTGAAGAAAGAATCTGTGAAGTACAGGACAGATCATTTGAAATTATCCAGTCAAAGGAGAACCACAACAACAAAAACAATGACAAAAAGTGAAGAAAGCCTACATGAACTATGATATACCATTAAGAGAAACAACCTATGCATTTTTGGAGTTCCAGGGGAGGAGTGGGAGAAAGGGGCAGAAACGTAATTTAAAGAAATAATGGCTGAGAACTTCCTATCTGGAGAGAGATCTGAACATCCAAGTTTATGAGCTAATGTCACCCCAAAATTTCAACTCAAAATGAACATCTCCAAGACATATTATGATAAAACTGTCTAAAATCAGAGACAAAGAGAGAATTTTTAAGTTAGCAATAGAAAAAAAATTGCTCATATACAAAGGGAATTCCCATAAAGCTATCAGTGGATTTCTCAGAAGAAGCCTTGCAGGCCAGAAGATAATGAGATAATATATTCAAAACGCTGAAAGAAAAAAACAGGCAACCAAGAATTCTTTAACAGGCATAGGTGTCCTTCAAAAATGAAGAAGAGATAGACTGTCCCAAACAAACAAAAGCTGAGGGAGTTAATCACCACTATACTGGCATTACAAGAAATGCTACAAGGAGTTATTCAGTTTGAAATAAAAGGATGCTAATTAGTAACATGTAAATGTATAAAAATATAATACATACTAGTATATATATATAGGCAAATTTAGAAAACTCTAATACTATAATATATGTTACTCACTTAGTTCCAGTATGAACAATAAAGAAGTATTAAAAATAAATATAGTTACAATAATTTGATAATGGATACAGAATATAAAAAGAGGTAAACTGTGACATCAAAAACATAAAATGTTGGAAGGGGAGTAAAAGGGTAGAGTTTCTGCATGAGATCAAAGTTAAGATGTTATCAGCTTAAACAGATTGTAATATCTACAAGATGTTTTATGTAAGCCTCATGATAACAACAAGCAAAATCCTACAGTAGATACACAAAAGATAAAGAGAAGGGAATCAAAGCACACCACTATGGACAATCAATAATTCACAAAGGAAGATAGCAAGAGAGGAAGAAAGGAACAAGGAAAATACAAAACAGCCAGAAAACAATTAATAAGATGGCATTGGTAAGTCTT